CCCCCGCCCTCCGCCAGCGCTTTTCGTTCACTGAGAAACAGAGCAAGAAAAAGGAAGGAAAAATGTCGTAGGAGAAAAAAAAAACACTAAACAAAATGACTGCACACCAAGGCAGTCTCGAAACAAATTCTGTAAGCAACAATAGTAAGAAAGGGATTACGCTGGCTTTTTTTCTGTATAAAACAATTGAGAATGGCTTTTATTATGTACATGATTGCAGTAAACACATATAGAGCGACACGGAAGGAACAATAAACAGAACAGCACATACGGCAGAATCTTAGCAGGCTGTGATTTTAACGTGATATTTAAAACAACCACTGGTGCATCCTTACACAAAAGCACAGAATTTTGTGCAAGAAATAAGTGGTTAGTCTGAAATGTGTCATACTTTACGACGTTGCCTTCTGGTTAAGATTCACCTCTTATTCTGACTTTTTTTAAAAATCGCACAATGAGTACCTTATTTCAAACAGTTGGCTTCCATTTTTTAATAATTGAGTATGCTTCGTTCCGGTCAATTGGAAAATATAGTTTGCTGGTCATCATTTTAATTTATAGTCTTCAAAAAAGGAAGGGGAAGGGCAGCGAAGTTATAAGTCAATTGTCGTAGAGTTGTACGATTCAATAAATTTATCAGTCATAAGTCAACTGTGTGCGATGCGCAGAATTAAACATTGTGAGGACTGAAGCTGCGTTGGTGTTTGTTTGTTTGTTTGTTTGTTTGTTTGTTTGTTTATTGTGCTGGTGTTTTATTTTCCTTTTGTATTTCAAGCATGGACCTTTTTTTTTCCTTTTCTCCAAAACGGGGAGGAACTAAGCTTGGTTTTCGCTCGACCGCTTCAAATATCTTTGACTTTCCTAGGAGACAGAAAGGTTGATCTTGACCTCGTCGGTACTTGTGGAGGAGAGCCTGGCGTACAAGGTGCCCCCACTGGTAGATGAGACGGACAATCTGTTAGACCCCGAAGTGATAACTTGTTCACATCCAGCATCGGTGCAGACGTCGATGTGGACCTGAAATAGAAGGCAATTTTGTTATTATAGAGTTTTATGTTAATTAGATCTAATGTGATTCTGTTTGAGTGCGTTAGTGAGGGTGTGAAGGAGAAACAACGGGGTGGAAAGAAGGGGGGGGGGGTGGATGCAGTGACTGAGTAGATGACGAGTAAGTGACCCGAGTATATGTAGTTGACGAGCAATTTGAGAACGCCAAAGAGTGGTCTGCAAGATGTATCAATTCTCCAATAATAATTGGGGAAGGAAATAATACATGTACGTCTTAAACAGCACAGATTCCGAAATTTGTTGGGGGTTTTTTAAACGCGAGGGAAACTTTAGATAAGGATGACGCACGCCCATGGTGCGCAAGAAGTCGAACCATAGTGGTGCTCAAAATGTAAAAAGAACGTCTATTTCAGAAATGAAACACCACACCACTGTAAGCGCATGCGCCAACATAATCATAATCATAACATACAGCGATCATGGTCATTCATTGATTTCTCCGTTCGGAAGCTCTAAAAATCTTATACATTTATTATCCTGGTGTTTCCCCGTTAGCCGTCGATTCAGGTTTCCAAAAAAGTTTTTCTGGGTCTACCCGTGCCTCTTTTGCCTTCTTTTTTCCAGTGAGATCCAACAATTTATAATGTGCATTAAAGCTTGTAAACAGCGGGGGGGGGGGGGGGGGCTTTTATTTTAGGGTCCAAGTACTATGTATTTCATCTATAAGCGTCTTGGTTAAGGAACCAAAATGTTGCAAGACCTTATTTAAGACTCTGAAGCAACGGATATGATTGCCTGCGTGTGTCCTTTAGAAATTAAAGGAAAATGACCAGGTTTTCCTCGGCCCATACATGCACCTATTGCGGCAACTAATACTGTCAGCGACACTGCAACTTCCGCTTCAAGCACTACCACTGCTACTAACTCTGTCACTAATTATCATCTCCGAGTAAAAGTGTTACGCCAGACCGTAGATTTGTACTGTAAAACCCTAGACTGTGTACAATAAAGTAATTCCTATTGGCGCAAGCCATTTGAGCCAAACGAAACGCAAAAGGGGAACATTGCTCTCGAATGCTAGTATTAAAATGCCATGCTTCCAACTTGTAGCTACTTTAAAGCTTGCTTGAAATATTACTGCTCTCTTTTTTCTTCCTTTGGTCGCAGAGAGGAGTGTGTCCATCAGAGTTGTGTTGATTCAGCGTGTTACATTCAGTAGTATAGTAGCAGCCACAGTAACAGTAGCATAGTAGCTGCCCATGTCTCCGTGGATGTGTCGATTATTCAAAAGTTGACCAATTTTGATCAACACCATACTAAAACGCACGACTAGAAAAAGCGGTCCAAAACACGAGTGAGTACTTTTGGAGACTCATGTGGAGATGTCTAGACAGTGCAGGGACGAAATCTACAAGCTTACTCGGAAATGTGGGGGAAGGGTGGTGTCGCTGTCTCAAAATGAGCAATTTGTAGGCAAGGTTACTTTACTATTATTTGTTGTAGTGATCCTGTATATGCACATACAGGCCGGTGTTTGATATAGGACCCAAACAGACAACATATCTTTATAAAGGATCAAGATTTTATT